GTTTGATTTGACCAGGAGCAGAAACAGAGTAGCAGATCCCAAACAGGAGGTGCTCGAACAGGGTGGATTTCACAGCCCAGTCAGCCTCCTAGACCTCAAACAGATACCATTTTGTCTAGAGAGACAAAGATTATGGGACAGGATTACGCATGCACTGAGCTGGGAGTGAACTCATTTCTGGCTCAGTGAAATGCAACAATATGCATCCTACAGGTTTCACTCAAAACAGGTCCTAGTAGACCTCAGACATAATGGTCTGCAGATCAAGAACTCCACGTGGCACATAAGGCACCATTTTGTACAGTGTGGAAAAACTTTAAAACTGCAGGGACAACAGTGAGCTGTGCGTGTGCTGAGCTGGGAGTGAACTCACTGAGCTCAGTACATTGCACTGTTTCCACAGGGAAAATAATACCAACAGTACGGGTCAAAATAGGTCCATATGGCCCTCAGACCTAATGGCCAACAGGTTCTGGTAAGATCAGCACCAACAAAAATCTAGCCTTGTTGGATACCTGGTGTCTCCCTAATCTTGGGAACTGCTCTAACAGGAAGTGGGAGAAAAGTTGTACAGACAACAGTGCAACCTCAGCACAATATCAAAGGAAGTGGAGAGTGGTGAGCCAGGAGCTGGGGCTACAGAGACTGTGGTGAAAGTCTAACATAAGAACCCAGAGCTGGAACTCACTAGAGGGAGTGGCACAACTGACTTCAAACCAAAAGCCATGTGCCAACCATAATAAGTAAAATCTAATTGTAGACCAGTGGGTGCCACAGCTTAGAAAGCTGCCCCAAGGAGAAGAATCTGATAACTAGAAGTACAATGATCAAGAGCAAAAAAAGAGACAAAGGCACAATAATATTCTGAAAACTCCACTGCAAAAGAGCAAAACCTTTGCCAACCTAAGAGTTAACTGAGGAAGACATTGAGAAAAATGGAGGACTACTTCAAACAAAAAAGCTTCTGTTCAGCAAAGGAAGCAATTAACAAAGTGAAGAGGCAACCAACAGAATGGGAGAAAATTTTTGCAAACTACACAAGTGATAGGGGACTAATCTCTAGGATTTACAAAGAGTTTCAGAAACCCAGGGACAGCAACAACAACAATAAAACCCTATAACAAAATGGGCAAAGGAATTGAACAGACATTTTTTCAAAATAACAGATTCAAATGGCTAACAGACATATGAAAAGATGCTCAGACTCCCTAGCCATCAGAGAGATACAAATGAAAACCACCTTGAGGTACCACCTAACTCCAGTGAGACTGGTCTACATTCAGAATTCAACTAACAACACCTGCAGGCGTGGATTTGGGGAGAAAGGCACCCCCTTCACTGCTGGTGGGAGTGTAGGCTAGCATAACCACTGTGGAAATCAGTATGGAGAGTGCTTGGAGAATTGCAAATAAACCTGCCATATGACCCAGCTATCCCAGTCCTAGGAATATATCCAATAGAAGTGAAATCTGCATATGAGAAGGGGATCTGTAATCCTCTGTTTACAGCAGCACAATCTACAATAGCAAAGACATAAAAACAATCCAGATGTGCATCCAAGGAAGAGCGGTTAAAGAAACTGTGATACATCTACTGTATGGAATATTATTCAGCTATTAAGACGAATGAAATTATACTATTTACTAGTTGCTAAGAATGAAATTACACTATTTATAACTAATGGTCTCAACTAGAGACCATTATGCTCAGTGAAATGAGTCAATCATGAAAGAACAAATACCATATGTTCTCTCTTATATAAGGAAACCAGCATGGAAAGTGTAACTTCAATAATCCGATCCATACTGTTTTTCGTTTGTTTGTTTGTTTGTTTGGGCTGTATCCCAGGTGTTTTGATGGTTTTTATTTCAGTTTTATTTATTCCAAATAATTTCTTTTCTCTTGTCAAATTCAACACTGGCTCATGGATTACACGGTGGCATCATTTTTCCCAAGAGACTTTTTTATATTTCATTTTTGTCACTCACATGTTGGTCACTCAGTGGCGCGTTTTTTTTTTTTTCATGCTGCTGAATTTTGTTGTTGATGTTATTGTTGTTGTGGCTGTTCTAACTCATACCAGTTGTTGACCTTGTTTTATGGCTTCTCAATTGTGGAAATGTATAGTGATGGAGTACTGGGGTCTATCATGCACAGACGTGGGGGTACAATGGAACATGCATCCCTGCTTCCAGACGCAAAATGAAACTGTTGGACATGTGTAGACAATGGGATGCTAGAGTGTCTGACATTGTCTGTGCCAACAATGGTGGGATACACTTAAATAAGAGACTGATAGAACTATGATTCCTTGTGAGGGACTAGACTACACCATTGTACTAAAATGGGGAAAATCTGTTGGGGTGGGAGTTTGGGGGGTAATCCCAGCCTATATGAAATTTTACCATATAATTCAAAATTCAAAATAAAAATATATTTAAAAAAGGAAAATGAGGAATCAGAACTCAGAAAACACTCATTATGAAGCTTCTTATCAACAATGAGAAGCACATAATACAGGAGTTCAAGAAATTTAAGGAACATGTACACGGGAAATAAATGAAATGAAAGCTGATATATCAGAAATGAAGATTACAGTGGAGCAAATTAAAAGTACAGTGTAGAGTCTCCAAAATAGAATGAATGAAGCAGAAAACTCTCAGAATCGGAAGATATTTCCTCTCACCAGGAGGAAACAAACAATAAGCTGGAAACAGAGCTGTGTCAAGCTAAAAATAGTATTTAAGAATTGAAAGACACTATTAAAAGGCCAAATATAAGAATTATTGATGTTCCAGAAAAGACAGGAAGAGAAAATGGGCTTAAAATATATTTAATCCAATAATAAGGGAAAATTTAGAGAAAGAATTGGCAAACAACATCCAGGAGGGGGACAAAACTCCCAACGCAGTTGACCAACAGCAATGTTCAACACGACACATGATCATCAAGCTCTCTTCAATTGAACAAAAGGAAAACATCTTCAAATGTGTACGTGAAAAAATTCAATTGGCATATAATGGACATATGACTGTGTATGAAGAATGATACTTTAGTAATAATATAGGGAAACTCAATGTGGGGTAAGGTAGGAACTAGGGGAGAGAGTAAGGAAAATCCCAGGGCCAATGGAAATGTATCTTAAAATGATAATAATAAAAAAAAGTTTAAAAAGATAAATGGAGCAGCCAGGACATGCATCAGTGCCCATAGGGGATTCCTGTGTCCCAGGCCACAGCTTTCCCTGCTACGCTGTAATGCCAGCCCCTACAACCATTCTCAACACCTTGACATACGTGAATTTGCTTCTTTTATAGGATCGAGACCAGATGGTATCTATTTTTTTAAAACAAGCTTCTATTTAGAAACATTTCATGCATATTTTCAATGGTTGCATCATCTCCCACTGTATACCAACATTTATTGAATCATAATCAGTTTGGGGCCTGGAAAGCTGTGTCCTCTTCTTGGCTGCAACACTGTCATTTTTCAATATGTCTGATGATTTTCCAGCTCCCTCTCCTGCCTTATCTTTCTCCATAGCCAGCCAAACTATTGGCAACCAGATTATGTACTGATTTTATTGGGATGCCAACCTCTCCCAGTTGGAACACAAGTGCATTGATAGCACAGCTTTTTATTCCACCCAGTTTGTTTCTCCTGTCAAGAACAGTGCTCAAGATACAACACTTAGTACGTAGGTGCTGAATATGGATCGATAGAGGACATGGTAGAAATAGCAGTATGAAAGAGGTCGTAAGATGGGGAGGGCGGAAATGGAGCCAAGCAAGAAGTTTGTGTGAGTTCTCTGGGTGATCAGGGTCACTCGAGTGCCTGCAGATGCTCGGTGTCTGCTGGGCTCTGCGCTCCAGGCCAAGGGGGGCCACCAAGAGATTCCCAATTTGTTGGAGGAAATGACCCCGTCACATTCAGCTCCTAACATTTTGCTACATGGCCCTTTTAGAACTTACAATTGGGAATAGGAGGGATAAAGACAAGCAAAAAAAAAAAAAAGTAACTAAATCAAAGAGCCCTGACATTAAGTTTTTTTTAAAAGAAAAAGATGTGTCTGCTTTCAAAAGTTGACTGCGACAACACCATGGTACTAGAACAAGGTAGTGTGTGTGTGTGTACAGATAAATGTATGGGGGCCAGTACAGTGGCTTAACAGGATAAGCTCACACTTGTGGTGGCGACATTCCACACTAGTGCCAGTTAGAGTCCTGGCTGCTCTGGTTCCCATCCAGCTCCCTGCTTATGGCCTTGGAAAGCAGCGAAGGATGGCCCCAGGCCCTGGGTCCCTGATCTGATATGTGAGACATGGAGGAAGTTCCTGGCTCCTGGCTTTACGTTTGAATCGACTTAGCTCCACCTTTTCAGCTATTTGGGGAATGAACTAGCAGATGCAAAACCTTTCTCTGTCTTTCTCAGTGCAACTCTTACTTTACGATAAATACAAATATGTCTTTAAAAAGATAAATGTCTGTATGAAACAGGGATCCCAAAATAAACTCTCATGTATGTGGTCAAATTTTTTTCAAACCGGTGCCAAGTCTGTTCAAAGGGAAACGGTTCTTCCACATTGGTTCTAGAAAACGGCAAATTCACATGCAAAATAGTGTAGTTGACCCCTTACCTCACACTGGAGACAAAAACTGTTGCAAAATTGATGAAAAACCTGCAAGTAAAAGCTAACATGGTAAGGTATTTCGAGAAAGCCAGGGGGACATGCTGATGACATCAGCTCTTGCAAAATTTTCTTTGCGACAGTCAAAGCACAGGCAACAATACAAAAACTGGTTCCAGAAGACGTTGTCTCGCATCTGCAAGTCCGGGCTGTACCTTCTCCCAAATCCCGGGTGGGATTCCTGACGAGGCTCCGTGGGGTCCCCAGGCCCCTTCTCAGAGGATTGGGGTCTGCAGGGCCAGGCATAGCGGGCTGCGAGGGGGGTGGTGGGGGCGGAGGGAGGGGCACCCAGACACCTGCTGGCTCTCAGGAGCTGGGGGAAGTCGTGAGGCCGCAGTGCGGGCAGGAGGGGCCTGGGATGAGAACCTGCGGCTCCGCGGAGAGGAGGAGACGCGGGGACCGAAGCGGGAAGCAACGCACACAAAGCGAGAAGGCCCGAGGGCCGGGCGGCGGCCGCCCTCCCAGCACAGCCCGCTCCGGGGTCCCGCGCGCGCCACCTCGCCCAGCCCCGGGGCCTGTGGCCGGCGTCCCACGGGTTGCGGGCCCGGTCCCGCCCCTGCCATCGCCCGCTGCCGCTTAACCCTCGCCTGGCCGCCCCCGCGCGCCTCCGCCAAGCCCCCCGGGCGGCTGCGGGTGGGCGCGGGCGCGCCGCCTCCCTCCACCCCGCCGGGCGCGCGGCTCCGGGAGCTGACCGTGGTGCCGAGCGCGCGGCTCCGGGAGCTGACCGTGGTGCCGAGCGCGCGGCTCCGGGAGCTGACCGTGGTGCCGAGCGCGCGGCTCCAGCTCGGACGCCGCGCCCGGGTGCCCAGGGGACGGCCGCGCCCTGCCACAATCCGGCCGCCAGCGGGTAAGTCGCCGCCGCCCCGGGAGGCTACGAGAATCCGGGTCGCGGGAAAGGTGGACTTCGGTGGGGATGGGGGTGGGGAAGGGAAGGGAGGGGATGATTTGTAAATATTGGTGCGTTCTTTCGCGCGATGGGCGGCACCCTGCGGGATCCAGGGGGGGATACTCTCTTCACCCAGTGGTGCCCAGCGTAGATGCTGCGAGTGGATGTGAAACCCGTGAGGTGGTGACCCTTTGGCGTACGAGCTAGGGAAGGGGAGAAACCCTCTTTCTGGAGACGCGAATACTGGGGAAGGCTCATCTTTCTGCTGGGCAAGAAGACCCAGGGGCTTCCTCAGAGAAGGTGGGCTGGGACTTTCGCTCCCCTAAAGTCTCTTTGTCTGCCAGTGTGGGGGGTTGGGTGGCTCGCTGATGCTCTCATCCTAAGATTCTATTTCTGTTCGATACTTCACCGCCTCCCCCTGAACACGGGAGCATTCCCTTCCCACAAGGGCCTTCACTCCACCCAGCAGGTTTTAAGGCAAGCCTCCTCACTGGGGTGTACCAGGCCGGATTTATGGGAAGGCCTTGGGCGGGGCTTGCTCCTTGCACCTGCACTTTTTTAGCACCATGTCCCTGTTTGTGTTACACTGTTGTGACTTTCCTTTGGTATCTGGGGGTGGGGGAGTGGGGGTTATCGATGAGGCATAGCAAATACCGAAACTATTAGTGGCTGTTGTCTTCCTCTGGGAGAGCTTTATTTTGCCCCCTGTGGAATCAGACACCCAACTGATGTGTGCTGAAGAGGGACAGAATTACCTTCTCCCTGGGAAGAAGGATTCCTAGGCAGCTGAGCCAGTTCAGTCATCTTGTAGACAAGTAGCCAGTGGATGACTTCATTTGCTCCATTTGCAACCAGTCCACGTCGGTGTGGGTGGCATGTGCCAGGCATGGAGATGGCAGGTGTGCAGGCACTGGAGTCTCCGCTCGGCTTCTCTCTGCTGAACCCTGCTTCCGCCCGGCCCCACCCCCACCTGCATGCGTGTTCTGCTTTTCCTTTATCCCTGTAGCTGGAGTCACCTGTGAAGGCTCAGACGCAGGGCCTATCACTCCCCCCTGAAGGATGTGTTCCCACAGCTCACAGAGTAGGCCAGGCCTCCCCGCTCATCCGGTCTGTCAGGCAGGCTGGGCTGCATTCAGATCTCTGCAGACCAGGGCTTTTTTTTTTTAATGTGAAAAATAGATTTATTTTGATACAGAAAGATTTTGAAATCCATCTAAAGCACAGGGTCTTTGAAGAATTCATGGGGGGAAAAAATGTGCAATATGACAAAGTTATCCATGGACTTCACTTTTTTTTTTTGAGACTGAAATATGCTTTTGCTTTAATTCTAAATTCACTGCTTTTAAAGAATACCCTCCTATCTCCTTGTCATGCTCCTTGGGGGACTTGGGGAAGGGTGTGTTTCCTGCCTGAAATATACCATCTTTTTCCTGGCTGTCATCTGCTATCTTTTAGGTTTTGGATAAATCATATCTCTGAAGCAGAACGGATGCTATACGTGTGCTGTGTGGTCCCTGTCTATAGATGAGTCTAATGTGCAGGTTTGTCTTAGACAGTCCGCATAGGGGCCTGGCGTCTTAGAAAATAGCTCATATGCACACTGCCTTCTTTGAATCCCAAACCCCAGCAGGGTGGTTAGGTGGCACAACAGGTGAAGCCTCCACCGGCCATGCCAGCATCCCACATCAGGATGCCAGATGTAGTCCCAGCTGCTCAGTTTTGGTAGCCTGGGAGATCAGCAGAAGATGAACCAAACATGTGTGCCCCTGCCATCCATGTGGAAGACCAGGATGGCTCCCGACTTGGTCCATGCCTGGCTCTTGCGAGCATTTGGGGCGTGAACCAGCAGATGAAACTCCTCTCTCGCGCACGCGCTTTCTGTGTGGTTCTCCATCTTTCAAATAAGTAAATCTGCTTTTAAAAATGATAGAATTCCAGACCCATCATTCTCTTTAGGAAGCTTAAATGACCACACTCAGCTAAGATGTTTGAAACCCATAAAATCAGTTGTTTTTGTAAGTCCAACCACAGTCTATACTGTTGGAGCCCTGGACCCAAGCATATGCTCCTTTTCGGTGGGGAGCTGGACCAAGGGACAGACTCTGTGGCTACTGAGCGCCTGGTCAGGAAGATTCCAGCAGCGGGAGGGCGGGTCTGGCTGGTCCCTTGTGGAAAGCCATGTGGATGGGGCAGCATAGGGGAGAAGCTAGCCTTGTCTGGGCTGGGGATCCAGTGACTGAGTCTGTAGCCATGGGGTTACAGAATGTGCATTTTTGCAAGTGAGAACTTGGCTGCATTCAGCTTCTGCCCTGGGGTGGTGGCAGTGTCAGCATCTGGCTGTCCACACACATCCCACTCTGCCTCTGAGAGCTGTCGTGGGAGGTGACGGCTCAGTCTGTTTCTAGCCAGGCAAGGGTGGGTGGTGCTGTTAGGAGTGGGAGGGGTGCAGTAGCTACTACCCACATCACTTACAATCACACATTTCCAAAACAGAAGAGAAACCCTGATCAGACATCTTACCACGGGAGCACGCAGGATTAAATACAGTCTGCAGTTCACGTGGCTGCTTCAGCATCAGTGCTTGTGCTTCGCTGTCTTATCCACAGGCAAAATGACAACACGGCAGCAGGTCTGGCAACCGCTTAGGGACACCGAGTCCAGTCATCGCAAGCAGTGACAGCCGTTTTGCAGGACTGTTTTCCAAGTTCAGAAGAGAGTGAAAGCCCCATCTGTTCATGATTTGACATCAGCTGATTGCTTTGAGAACCGCAAAGGAGGTAGTCCTCAAATCAGCCACCGTAATCTTTGCAGCAACAAGGACTCTGCACACGGTGACAGAGTGGCCCGCTTGAAGTCATTCATTTCCAAGGTTATAGGAACACAAGAGAAAACTCCTCCCCTTTCCCCAAATATAGAAAAGGGTAAGTGAAACAGAGGCCTCCTAGTGGATGCCTCCACAACTTCCTGTCATCAAAATTTTACTACCACGAGTTAAGATTTTTCTAAGTTAGTGTTTGCTGCTTGTGGTCTTCATTTGGTGCTTTTTCCAAACTTCTTGTGAAAATACATCTGTTATTTTGCTTCTGGATTTCTCATCAGAGACTGTGAGCAGTTGGCTCACATAGTGTCAAGTTCAGAAACAGACAGGGCTTGGCTCCACCTGGGTCCTTTGTCCCCCATGGAACCTGGGCTTTTCTGAACCTGAGTTTATCCTTTAAACAACAGCGGCTGTAAAAATCCATTCTCTTTTCTCCAGTAGGGGAGTGTGTAACCAAAACTCAAGGATCCTCTGATACCAGGGCCAGGTCAAAAGTGCTAGGCTGTGGCTCTAAGGGCTCAGGAGGGTCTGGGAGGCCTTATCTAGGCTGCAGAGGAATGCGCTGAGTGGAAATGGAGGCTGCGGGTGCAGGGTGGGAGGGCTCTGGGCACAGACCATCTGGCAGGAGGCAGAAGAGCCAGCACACAGCAGGCAGCTCAGGGCACCGCCCCCTGACCTGGGTGCTGCTAGGGAAAGCTGAGCGGCAGCTGGCACGAGGCCTGCTCCTCCCCCTCTCCTCCTGCCAACAGCCCGAGGCACCTCCTGGAAGCCAGGAAGTGATGCCCACGGGTGGCAGCAGGTGGGAGCTGGTCAGCTTTGATTCCGTGAGCCCTTCCTTGCAATGCCAGCTTTGCCAACTGGGAGGTGAGGCAGCCCTTCTGTCCATCCAGGACCCCGTGCAAAAGTGTCTCAGGGACTTGCGGCTGTCATGTAGCTGTCCGGAAGGTGTCCCATGGGTTTCCAGGATGCAGGGGGTGGTGGGGTGAGTGTGGAAGACAGCCTTGTGACAGAGCTGCCTCCTTTCATCCTGGTGGGCAGCTCTGCTCACAGGCTGGGAGCCAGGGCGGGGAGGCAGTGACTGGGTCCTGGGCAGAAATCAGACGCAATCTGTCAGACAGAAGGAGGACTGAAATCCATGCCTTTGCTGCCAGGGCAGGTGGTAGTGGAGGAAGAAGGTGGCACTAGCACAGAGTGTATTTCAACTGAAAAGACCCGGCGGGGTCAGAGGCCATGTGGATGCCCGAGGCAGTCTTTGACGGGCCCATCCAGCTCTGCCCTCTTTCGCCGAGGCCTTGGACACCTCCTAACCTAAGAGGCTTGAACCAGACAGGAGTCTGTCTCTCCCAGAGCAACTTTCAGTGCAAGTTCCCCCCCCCCCCCACCACCACCACCACCTTGCTTCACTCCGGATCTCCCAGCTAGCTTGTCTCTCTCCTGCTTGCTTTGTTCCCTTCTTTCTGGGAGACCTCAGCGTTGATAACCCCTTGCTGCTTTAACTCCTTACGTGGCTGCTAAATCCCTTGACTTCACCCTTCATATGGTCCCTCCACCTCACTCCCTTTCCTCAGCCCAGGGTGATGGTGTACTGTGAGCCCTCAGTGTCCCCACCTGTTCGCGTCCTCACTTAGATGTAAGATGCAAGCCAACTTCTCTGTTAGAGCATCAGCTTCACTGGTGCCCCCTGCTTCTGCCTACCATCAACAGACTCCTGAAACCAGGCTGGGCATCTTGCATCAGCTTTCTCACTCCAGTACCTTTTAAAATATATTTATTTACTTATTATATGAAAGGCAGATTTACAGAGAGAAGGAGATACAGAGAGAAAGATCTTTTGTCTGCTGGTTTACTCCCCAAGTGGCCACAATGACCAGAGCTGAGCCAATCTGAAGTCAGGAGCCAGGAGCTTCTTCCTGGTCTCCCACACGGTATGGGATCCCAAGGCTTTGGGCTGTCCTCCACTATTTTCCCAGGCCACTCCAGCATCCACTCCAGCATCTTTTCCAGGGAGCCCAGGGACTCTCTCAGGAGAGCACCTGTCGCTTAAATGTGTATGGCAGTTGACCACAGCTGCCTGTCCATCCACCCAGTGCCATGTGTCCCCATCAGCCTGCTCCTCGCCCCACGCTGTCTCCACTGGAGGTTCACACTTCTTGCCAGCTTCCAGCTGGGCTGTGTATTGTCTGTGTAGAGGCCCCTGTGCAGAGACCCAGGCCTGTTGGGGAAAGGTGGGTACAGGGAGGGTGTTCCCCAGCTGCCTTTGACCCAGGAAAGCAGACAGGTTTGGGTCAGATGTGGTGTGAGTGAGTTAAGGGGCTGTTGGTACGACTCCTCCGGAAGGTTTCGGAGAAGCTCAGAGGTGCTTGGATGTGTCTGAGTCAGTTCCCGTTTAGGTTCCCATGGGTAGCATAGCTGCTCTGGGTAGCCACTCTCTATGAAGGTGGAGGTGAGAACAATGAATAGGGCTGTCCCATCCCCCTCTCTCGCCTCTGCTGGGTCCCAGCTCCTGCAGCCAAGCCAGAGATGCAAGCAAGGGTAGGACCCTCCCGCCTTGCATGCTTAACACCTGCTGCTCTTTCTCTACAGTGACTAGGACCACTGGGGGCATGGAGCTGAAGCGAGGAAAGACCTTCATCAAATCCAGCCTGCAGATTTCCCATGAGAAAGCCCCAGACTCAGCGGTCACCATTCCAACAAGAGAGGATGTCAGCCCCAGTGAGAGGGGCTCCCAGGCAGGTCAGAATGTCCACAGCTATGATAGAGGCCCTGGCAAGGGGGCACAGTCAGACCCGGAGAATACGGCCGTGGCTTCTGGAACCTCCTTCAGACTGGTTCGGAAGAGCAAGACTCATGACAATGTGTCCGGGGCCAGCAGGGCAGCTGGTGCTTCCGGGCAGCTGGTGGCCAGTGCCAGCTTCTCTGGGCCCTCTGGTGGCCAGCGCATGATCGACTACCGCCACTTCGTGCCCCAGATGCCTTTTGTACCTGCTGTGGCCAAGAGTATCCCCAGGAAGAGGATTTCCTTGAAACGGCCCAAGAAATGCTTTTGGAACCTATTCCACCTGCGCAGGAACAAGGCGGAGGGTGTGGCCTCGCTGGTGGCCAAGGGCAAGAGCCTGGCCTCCCACGGGGGCCTGTTGGATGTGGCAGGGCGCCGCAGCGCCACTTTCCTGCCACTGGGCGAGGACCCGGGGCTGGACAGCCTGTGCCAGGACCTGTGCGATGGTGACCTGATGCTGGATTCGTCCCTTGAACTCTGCCGGGCGCTGTGTGAGGATGTGGCTTCGCTCAAGAGTTTTGACTCGCTCACTGGCTGCGGGGAGATCTTTGCAGATGAGAGCTCCGTACCGTCCCTGGAACTGAACGAAGAAAACCCTGATGGCCCAACCCGAGTGTCCCAGAGCCCGGGCTGCAAAACTACTGGAGGCCCCGTCCAGGGCGGTGTGGAGAAGCTGGCATCCCCTGCCCAAAATGAGGCATCGGACTTCTCCAAATTCTGGGACAGCGTGAACCGCAGCGTGAGGCAGCAGCACCGCGCCCTCCTGGCCCCGTGGTCGGCGGCAGGACCCCAGGGCCTGGACACTGATCAGGCCGGGCCAGGGGATGCTGCTGGGCTGGCCGAGTTGCCCTTATGCCCCTGTAGGGACCCGCCCAGGGGCTCCAAGGCCAGCTCCATAGACACGAGCACCCCAAAGAGCGAGCAGCCGGAGTCGGTGTCCACCAGCGACGAGGGCTACTATGACTCCTTCTCGCCAGGCTTGGAGGAGGACAAGAAAGAGGCCCCGAGCCCCAGCACACCTGTTGCCACCTTCCCCCGCGACAGCTACAGTGGGGACGCCCTGTATGAGCTCTTCTACGACCCCAGCGACAGCCCTGGGGGGCCGAGCCTGGACGATGACCCGTGTGTGTCCGAGAGTCTGTCGGGGCCAGCCCTGGGGACACCACTGTCCATGTGCAGCTTCCACATGGGGGCGGAGGAGAACCTGGCTCCTGCACCTGGCCCTGACCTGCTCAGTCAGGGTTTCCTGCAGAGCACCTGGAAGGGCAAGGAGTGCCTGCTGAAGCTCTGTGACACGGAGCTGGCTATCACCATGGGCATTGTCAACTGGCTCCGCCGTGCCCCTGAACCCCGTACCCCACCCACAGCCGTCCCCTTACTTCCTGCACTTGAGGACCCCATGGCCCCGCTGGGAGCTCCCAGGGAGCTGGTGGAAAAGCTAGGAACCAAGGGGTGCCAGGCCCCTGAGACACCCAGGGCCACTGTGTGCTCAGCGCTCAGCAGGCAGGAACTGTGGGCACATCTGGGTACCCAAGGTCTGATCCCTGGAAATAACAGGGTCCCAGCAGGGGCTGTGGAGGCTGTGGGCACTCCACCCAGGGACCCCTTTCTGGAAGAAGGGAGCCGGAGCCCCCCTGATGGTTGGTTCTCCTCTGTGGAATCTGTGGCTGCAGCAACAATGGAAGCTTCTAGAAAAACCACAGCTCCAGTGTCCCCTACCTGGCTCAGCTTGCAGAAAGAGCCCCAACCCTCAGGAATGCTGGGCTGTTCTCACCTGACCAGGAAGCCTGCTGAGAAGCAGAGTATTCTGAGTGCAGAACCCACATTGATAGACTGTGCGGTCCAGCTGGGAACCCTGCGGATTGACCCAGAGGGCCAGCTCCCAGCCACACAGCCTGCAGGGCAGAACCTGGTCAACGGGCTCTTTGGACAGCCTCGGGTCAGACCCCCTCACAGTCCACAGCAAGAACAGCCCAGCAGTTTGGCAAGCAAGGCTGAGTCCTCCCCAGCCAGCTCACCAGATCTCAGGCATGCAGACTGCACCCTGGACCCGAGCTGGCTCTCGGCAGAGCCAGCAGGGCCAAGCCCCCAGGCCTGTGCTTCTGTGGAGGGCCAGCCCATGCAGTGCAGCCCCGGGGCTGTGGAACGAGCAGCACAGAGGGGTCAGCTAGACACTGAGCCACCATCAGCTACTGTGTCGCGGCAGAGTCCTTGGAGCCGACCCTCAGAGATCTCAGGCCTTGCTTTGCAGAGTCCGTGGGGAGGGTTGCCCTCTGCAAGTGCCCCCAAATGCTGTTGCAGCCTGCTGGCCCATGAGGATCACCTTGTCAGCCAGCCAGAAGTGAGGGCTGCCCAGCCAGCCACAGCTGAGGCACACCTGTAGCATGGGCTCACACTGAACTTGGGACCATGGATCTCCACCTTGGCCCTCCTGTGGAAGACCGGGGTTAAAGGGGAGGAGGTGGGACAGAAATCACGTGGAGGAGGGCAGGCATCTTTATCGGGGGCTTCCTTGTCTGGACCGGATGCCATGGACAGAGCAATGTCGTGAACCTGACTGCTGCTCAGACGCCAGACTGATGGGAAGGAGATGGTCTGAAATGCTCATGAATGGGACATGTTCTGCCAGGACATGCTTGGGGCGGGGGGAGGGGAGTGGAGGCTGAATCCCAGGCTTGGGGTAAGAGAGACAGAATAGGGGTAAGGTCTGGCAGGCCACGAGCCCCGCCTCAACCTGTTCTCTGCCCAAGATAGACAAGGGAGCAAAGAGCTCGCAAAAGCCTTGATCTAACATGGCAGCCTGGCAGAGCCCTGATGGTGGCTAAGTTCTCTTTCCCTGACTGCTCTGCACCGCCGCCTCCTGGATGTGTGCTCTCTTAAAACCAAAGCTGTGTTTGACCACACACCATCTCTGGAAAAACAAAACAAAACAAAACCAGTGGATGCTTCCCAACACTGCCGGTTATCATTCAGGGCAGAAGCCTCCCACCAGACTGCTGCTGCTTCCACACACGAACTGTCAAGATCCATGTCCCTGACTGTGAATTGCAAAAGTTCACCTTGGCTTAGAGCTTATATGCCCAAGACCCCGAAAGCCACAGCACAGCCAGACACGGCCCTCATGCATTCAAGATCCTGATGAGCAGAGGCAGCTGGCATGCCTGGGGAAAGGCCAGCAGGTGCAGGGGAGACAACCCAGTCACATTATCCAAGATCAAATTCTACCTCCGCCGAAACACTGCAGCGTGATTCCAGCAGACACGTTGCCCGCCAAGAGCAACTACCAGATTTGTTCCTGGAAGAAAGGCCCATGGGCAATCTGCCTGTGGTGGACAGGTCTCATTCCATGCTGAGCTAATAGGGAAGCTGGGGGGCTCTGCTTTGACCTCGGATGCAGGCAAGGAAGGATTCCTGCAGAGGACTGCAAGCTGGAAGGTGGCACAGGTACCAGGCACCTTCCGACCATCACTTGGTCTCAGGCTGGCAAAGCCCCTGGATACTGTGTTCCCAGCAGCTCAAGGGCCTTCTACTGGTGGGCTGCAGGAGGTTCAGGGGTCACCCCTCTTGGGAAGCCCTCTATTGCTCCCCCAGAACCTGTACACAGGGTCATGACAGTGTCACGAAACTCTGCCGGCAGCAGCCTGCATACTGGTCATTTCCCCTGACCCCTGCCTCCACCACAATGCACTTCTCGCCTTCATCTTCAGACTATGAGGTGGGAGGTCCAGGTGGGCGAGTGACTCACCCCACGTGTGTGTGTGTGTGTGTGTGTGTGTGTGTGTGTGTGTGTGTGTGTGTGGCTGTCGGCATGAGACCCCCAGGGCTGGGATGCAAGGCCTGGCTCTCAACTTCCCACCGAACTCCTGTGGCCATCAGCCTTTCTGAATTCTTTCCCTCTCCTACTTGTCCCTTCCATTGTCAGGCATGTGGGAGCCCAGGGGGGACAGCAGGCACCCTCCCTTGTTTACAGGGGTCTTCTCACTCCCCCTGACAGAGTAAGTGTGCAGTGTATACTCGCTGAAAGAATAAATGTTAAAAGCCTTGTGTCTGCAGAGAGATGGGAACTGATGTTTAAACAAGACCCTGGGTTGACATGCCCCTTTGCCGATGCAGAGGGACAGGATGTCTCCTTGCTGCAACAGTGACACCCCCCCCATGGCGGATGTCAGGGTGGGAGGCAGCAGCCAGGCCCAAGAGCAGAGTGGGTGGGTCAGGCCCAGGCATCAGGAGAGCTTGGGGTCAGCTGGAGACTATCAAAGCCCCTCTGCTTCTCTATCACCCCAGGATCTGGTGGTCATGGCAAAGGGAGGCATGCAGTGACCCAGCAGGCTGGCCCAAGGCTCTGCACCTGGCAGGGCACCCTTTAAGCAACTGCAGTGCCCTGAAGAGTCTCAGCAGTCAGGATAGACCTGTGGGTGTCTTGCTGGGAGAAGGGGTGGTGGGGGCAATGGGAGGGGCTGGCTTCTCCCTGCGATCTGCACCCCCCACAGACAGGGAGCAGGCACTGCCCACCCAGCCAGGCTCCTCCGGCCCCTGGGGGGCAGAGAGAGTTGACACAAGCCTGCAGGGCCAGGCCCAGGCTGGGAGAGTCCTGCCTCAGTGGACGTTTTCCAGGAGTCTCCAGTTGTGTCTGAGCCTCTGGCTCACGCGTGCAGCAGAGGTTCCTGCAGGCTTTGTCCGTGGCATAGGGCATCGTGAGCCCTAGATCCAGTGACTTGTGCCAGGCCCCCACAGCCCTGGTGGTGGAGTTAGGAGCTGGGTGCTGTTCTTCCCAGCCTTCATTGGGGCACTGGGGAAGGAGGGCATGGCTGGGAAGGGAGTGTGGTACAAGTGGGTTAGGGGTGAGAGCTGATAAGAGAGGAAGAGAGAGGGGCTGCAAGGGGTGCCTGGGAGAAGCAGAAGAGGTGACGTTTGCACAGTTCGGGAAGAGCCTGGCCTGTACATCGCATCAGGGAGCTCTTCTTACCTTCCCCAATTTCCTCTTCTGCTTTGTTTAATTTTATGGAATGAGATTCCAAACTAACAAGTCCCCAGGATCAGTGGCAATCATGTCTCCTTGCCCCCTCCCTTTCCTATCTGTTGCTGCAAAATCAATTTTCTCTGTGACAGGCACTCCCCAGAACTCCAAGTCCCTCGGCCCATGGGACAGCGGTGTGTGTCCCAAGACCTTGTCTGGTCTGCTTAGGAGGTTTCGTCCTCTGTCACCTCCTGCATAAGGTACCCCTTCTCCTCTCCCATTCCTGGAATAGCTGCCCGCCCCGCCCCTTAGCCTTCTGCAGGCTGCAAGGATTTTAAACATTCCCAGGTGGATGCACAGGCATTCATGCTATTTTTCATTTCTGCTATCACAGGATCCATGGAATGTTCCCTGGCCAAGTCCTCTTCACAGCTGTCCAAATGCAGCTCACCAGGCTGGAGATGCACTGATTACTCCACAGTGCCTCCTGCTGCTGGGACCCTGTGTTCTCACCTGACTAGCCCCAGGCCCCTGATGCTGAAGCCCAGGCCATGTTCAAGTGAATCCTGTCAAGCAGAAGGCACAGGTGGCTTTCTGTCACGATGCGGAAACATCTTCCCAGTTGTCATTTCCAGCCTTAAGAGAAAAAAGTGACAGGGGAGGCTTGGACCCAGTAGTTAGAAAGAGTCACGTCTCATATCAGTGTGTGTGGGTTTGAATCCCGCCTCTGCTCCTAACTCTAACTTCCTGCTAACTTCCTGCCCTGGGAGGCAGCTGGTGATGGCTCAAGTCCTTGGGTCCTGGACACTCATGTGGCAGGCCTAGATTGAGTTTCTAGCTCTTTCTTTTAGTCTGACTCCACCTCATGTGTTCCAGGCATTTGGCGAGTGAACCAGTAGATAGAATTGAACTCACTCCTCTTTCTCTCTTTTTTTCTGTGTGTCTCTCAGCTTCTCAAATAAAGAAGTGAAAAAAAAGTTTAAAAGTGCTGGGATACAGGGTGAAACCAACAGCATCCCGTCTCGGAGTCCAGGCTGCTGTGCTTGGGATCCAGCTCTCTGCTAACACCTGGGAAGGTAGTGGAACAGGGCTCAGGTCCCAGGGCTCCTTCCACCCACACGGGAGCCGAGGATGGAGTCTTGGAATCCTGCTTCTCTCTGGCCCTGTCCCAGCTGTTGCTGCCATTTGGGGAGTGAACCAGCAGATGAAAGATCTCTCTGTCTCTTCTCTCCACCTTCACCCTCCTTCTTCCTCTCTGTTGTCTCGCTCTGTGCTACTCTGCCTTTCAAGTAATTCCAAAAAAGCGTAAAATCAAAACCAGCGACCATTCTGAGCCCAGTAGAAAACTGAAATTGTAGGACAAATGGCCTATAGAAACCTGGAGAGGTAGGGGCATCGGGAGAAATACAGTAATAGATCTGGGGTCTGGAGCGGAAGTCAGATGTCAAGAACGGGGCAACACACAAGAGAAACAGCTCGGACAAGTTGAGGCAGGCTGGGTGGAGAGCGGGAGGCGGGGCTTACCCAGGAATCACTCTGCTCTTATCAGCTGAAGATGCCAGAAGATCAAGGGGAAGGGAGAAGGGTCCTTGAGAAGCCCCTCTAACAGCCAGTCTCCCCAACACAGGCCTCCCTCGCAGGGGAAGGGCGACCTCAGGAGGTTGTACTGAGGCCTTTCCAAGCTGAGCAACAGACACCCCCCAGCCTCCAGTCTTGCCCAGCCCTCCTGTGCCAGAGTCAGGAAATGTTTATAGCTATGATGAATACACACTTTAAAAAAAGAAATCATCTCAAATCAATAGCTGAGTGTTACCCTTCAAGAGAGCAGAGAAGGAAGAGGAAATGAATTGAGAGAGAAGGGAGAGAAATGATATTAGAGAATAAATGCAAATGATCGGTGAAACCAAAAATTTAGGTTGAGAAGATTAAGCCACTTGGTGGGCGTTGAGCTAGATGGACTGAGGAGAGACGAGGGGATGACTCAAGCTGCTAAAATTAAAGATGAAAACAGGGACATTGAGGCCAGTTTTACAGAAATATTTCCATGAACAGTTTTTTTAGAGATTGGTTTATTTGCAAAACAGAGAGACAGAGAGGGAAGGAGAGGAGTGAGAGAGAAGGAGAAGCCAGGAAAGGAAGAGAGAGAAGGAGTGGTGGAGAGAGAGAGAGAAAGAGATTTTTCATCCACTGGTCTGCTCCCCAAATGGCTGCAACAGCCAGGACGTGCCAAGCCAAGAGGTTGGAACTCCCTCTGAGTCCCCTGTGTGACTGGCAGGTACAGGAGCATGTGAGCCATCTTCTGCCACTTCCTCGGACTTATTAGTGAGAAGTTGAATCAGAAATGGAGCAGCCGAGATTCAAGCAGGAGTTATTAGAGCAGAGGATGCTGGCATTACAAGTAGTGGATCCACCTATACCAATACCAG